ACCCACACCCACACCCACACCCACCCACACTCACACCCACCCACATCGACACCCCACACCCACACCGACATCCCACACCCACACACCCCACTCACGCCCAACACACTCACACCCACCCACATCCAGACTCACACCCACACAGATACCCCACACACCCACACCCACCCGCACCCACACCGACACCCCACACCCACACCCTCATCGTAACAACATAAAACGCGAAGGAAAGCAAAAAAAAGAAGAACATTGAAAAATCGAAATAGATGTGATGATGAGCGCGCTGACGAAAAAAAAACTACCTACTTGATACAAATGGCATGCTTCGTTGATTTGCGTAAATATGTTTACCTGGGAAAAAAACCAAGTAATTTTGTCAACCATTAATAAGAAACAGAATCGGTTGCAAACATACAAAACAAACTCGCACACTTCAACATCACTTAACACGTAAGTACGTTTAATTTTCAACATTATTGGACTATTGATAAAATTACAGTTCACGAAAATTGAAAGTATAACCTTTGATTTTTTTTCTTCTTATAGTATGTACAAATAATAACTTAATAGAGTATGTATGAGTGTGTAGTGCAGGACATGTGCTAGTAGATCGAGCATATATAGAAAGCTCACAGTTGTATTTTAGTTAACTTTAAATAAATGTGCGTTTTTATCACAAAAAAAATTTTTGCATCTGCAACTTGTGTTTAGTATCAGTAATAATCAGTGCTATCTATCATTCATATCGTACTATAGCAAAGACTGATATTAGGAATTAGTATCATTGTTGTGCATTATACTCTGGAGAAGATGTGTACAAAGATCGATATAAAGTATCATCAATGTTAAGAATTATCGAGATAGAGATATATAAGGAGTGTACCACAAAGACTGAGGATAAATTGTTAATGATTTTTTTCCTACTTTGGTTTGACATAAAGAGCTGAAATTTTTAACGCATATCTATCTGATCATGGTTTTTTATTTCTGAAAGTTTCAGCTCTCTAGCTATAACTGATGATGAAATACATAATTTTTCGTACTCAGTTTTTGCCTCATTTTTCACAGTGGAAATAAAGCAAAAAACTAGTACGAAAATTTATTATTTCAATCTTGTCGATGTATTTTGTCAGTAGTTATAGCTACAGAGCTGAAACTTTCAGAATTAAAAGATCTTGATCAGATAGGTATGCTGATTACATTTCTACTGCATACTATACTATAGGTCTGACCAAAAGTTGTGGCAATATTAAAAAAAATAAGAAAACAGGGAGATATTTTTCATTTTATTTTATTAAATGTTCGAAATAGTCGCCATGATTATTTATACAAAGTTCCATCCTTCCTAATAGTTTGTCGAAAGTTTTTGTAAACTCTTCTTCTGGAATATTTTTGACCACCTTGGATACCGCACGAGCCAATGATTTTTCATTTGGTTGGTCAGATAAATTACACTTGATGTAATCATTTAACCAATAATCACATGGTGCAAGATCAGGTGAATATGGTGGATGCGGCATTATATTGATACCTTCTTCTGTTAAATAATTAATAACATCAGAATGACGATGGAGTCCAGCATTGTCGTGAAGCAATTTTACACCTTTTATACCTGCTGACTTTCTTTGTTTCCATATTTCCTTGACAACAGGCTTGAGGCAATTTTCAATATAATAGTTGTGATCTATAGTCTTGCCTTCATCAACACCATGCATAAGAACAGGACCATTTGATTTAAAGAATATACAAAATCAATTTTTTGGTTCAAATTTGCTTCGACGAACGATAGTAGTTGGTGATTCACTTTCACCAATCCAGGTTGCGTTTGTTGACTTGTGATGAATCTGCCTATGGTAAATACATGTCTCATCACCTGTTATAATATCACATAATCGCCAGGAACCATCTTGAAATTTCGTTAAATTTTCACGACAAAGTTGAACTCGTGGTTGTTTTTGTTCATCAGTCAGTTGATGGGGTACCCAACGAGATGTAACTTTTCTCATCTTGAGACAGTCGTGGATAATTCATTCTATTGTGCCATGAGAGAGAAATGTCTCAATTATAGTTTCATCATAAGTTGAATGTGGATCATTGTTGATAACTTGTCGAACCAGTTCAATATTTTCATCTGTAAGTTCGGAGACTCGACGACCAGATCGAGGATCATCATTGACATTCTCTCTCCCTTCACGAAAACGGTTTGCCCACCTGGCGACTGTACGATATGATGGAGCGTTAGGTCCTAATGCTGTTGTAAGTTCTTCGTGAATTGTCTTTGTATCAATTCCCAAAATAGTTCGAATTTTAATATAGTATCGATCGAATTCATTAGCCATTTAAAAAATTCTTTTTTCAGCTCGAATTAAAGTTTATCTGAAAAAGTATTGTAACTAACGCGGGAACATTCCCAAGTGATCCGCGTCGTTTCGGCTCATCTTCTACTGGTAGTTAGGGTTCATTATATATATCAAATATCTAAAAGGGTTCGTGTCCATGCTACACGATTCCAGAGTTATGAACTGAAGTACTCTTGTGCCAGATGGTGCTATCTTCTATGCACTATTTTTTCTTCGCTTCGTATCTTAACTAGGGAATATTTTTCTCCATAGTTATTTATAATACAAACTTGTCTCGTTTTAACAAATATGTTTCAGTTACAATAGAGAAAGTATAAAAGATTAACAAATAGATGGTAGCACCATCTATCATAGTAGTTGTCTCGCCAATTTCTCTGAAACCGTGCAGCATGGGCACGAATCCTTTTACACATTTGATATATTTAATGAACCCTAACTACCAATAGAAGATGAGCCAAAACGGTGCGGATCACTTGGAAATGTTTCCTCGTAAGTCTAAAATAGAGTTAGTATATATATATATCATTATAGACAAGACATTCTACTATTTATTTATGCAAGAAACCTCCTCACTATTAATTGGTTTATGAAATTGCCAATAGCGTTGCCAGAACTTTTGGTCAAACCTAGTAGCACATTATACTCCATCATGCGTGTGCATAATAATCATTTGACTTATTCACAAGAGAAAATAAAAAGAAAAAACCAAAGGGTATACTTTCAATTTTCTTGCACTGTAAAGTTGCAAGTCAATAGTAATTACTAACAACAAAACATGATCAAACATAGAAATGAAGCATTTCAATTGCCAGAAAGTAAATTCAAGAAAACTTGATTGAAGTTAATCAGCATATATAATCGATAGTCTTAATTGAAGTGATTCTTAGAAGTAAAATAGTCGTACTACAAACCATTCCCAGCACAATCACTACTCAAATGCTTAGATTCCACTGAGAAATATAGTCGTAGAAGACATGAATCTCATCCATGAGTGGCTAACATAGCGGCGAAGGCAAGAACTTCTAATAGAATTTTTTTCACATGTTAAAAAGGTTGTAACGATGATGATGATCAGTATTCAAAGGTAACCGTTTCACCAGTAACCACCTCTGACCGGTAATTGTTCACTCGGCCATCGGCGTAAACTGATATAAGTCAGCATTAACCGATATATACTGTAAAAACAATTCGTAGAATAATAAACCCTAGTACTTTAGGAAAGTCCTCCAAAACCCTTAAAGGGTTTATACTAGTGTGTTAAACACTTGAAGGGTTTTTGTGCGAAAGGGTTTCTGAGAAAAAGGGTATTTAAAAATAAAAACGGCTTATCACTAACGAAAAAGGGTATATTGTTCTACCCAAGGGGGAAACAGCGGACTTCAAGACTTCAAGACTTCAAAAGACTTCAACAGACTTCAACAGACTTCAGCCGCAGTGACTTCATATTTTCACAAGACTTCAAAAGACTTCTGAAGACTTCATAGGACTTCAAATGACTTTGCAAGACTTCATAAAACTTCGCAAGACTTCACAAAACTTCACAAGACTTCACCAGACTTCACAAGACTTCAAGAGGCAGATTCCATGCGTATCAAAAGAAACGTTATAGAAATTACATGAAACCTCTATAACATGCAAAAAAAACAAAACTTATCAAATAGTAGGGGTCTCATTTACCGTTTACTTTATAATAAATATAAATTATTTATCATTTAATTTACGCGTAAATTAAATGAAAAGTAGATATAAATTGACACCCCTATTCATAACAGAGTAACTAGTGACTTCCGAGAACCACGAACAGGAATGATATTGAAAATTGATTGCTCCCAAAAGTCTGTTTTGTGGAACTCACGTACAGTTTCTTCGAAAATAGTGAGTGTAGTTTTCAGTTCGAGGTTTGGCGGCTCCCCCCCTCCTCTCACCCCATTACAGACACTTAGCAACGGAGAAACAGAACATTACGAACATACGCCCCCCCCCCCCCCCCCCCCCCC